TTGCTATTTGTAAACTTGACAAAAGTCTGTCCTTTTCATTCCTTAAAAGCATGATAAGAGCAGAAGTTGTCAAGTTAACAAATAGCCAAGTGAAGTGCCCGCATAAAATGAAAAGTTTACAAAAATCTTAACCTAAGCTACCTACTCAAACTTCAACTTTCTCATATCAACAAATTCATGTGTTGTTAAGTACTCACTTATTATGTATAATGTTTTTTAATTATATTTTATAATAGTCTACATAAATATTTTTAACCTTTTAATAGAAAAAATACAGCTTTAATTACATCAACGGTAATGATTCTATTACTAACATAACTATTTTTACAAAATTAAGTATCTACAGATTTTAACCTGAGCATACGAGGCATTAGTTTTTCCATTCTCAAAAATTAGTACGTGTTTTATTTAAGAAAAGTAAAATTTGTACTTTATATTAACAATATTATTGAGGCCAGCAATCAATAGCATAATTTTAATAGTTTAAAATAACATGTAGCCATCAGGATAACAAGTTATTTTTGTTAATGGTATCCACAAAAATTTAACTTTATTTCAATATACAAAATATTTTATTGAATGCAGATAGCATAAAAAAACAAAATTAATATTAAAGAGATAATGTCAATTTCCCATATGAGATTCAAAGTCAAGTGATTCATGAGTATTGTGATAATGTTCAATTGACATCAAATAAAGTTTTCAACATGGTATATTTGCTATGTAAATTCATTCAAAAGATTTTTTAAAATTTACTTTACATTGAATCAACACCTCTCAATAATGTATCAACAACCGAGAACACTCAGTGATTCATAGTTATCTTATTTGAGTATAGTTGTGAAAGCAAAAACACTACATCTGCAATGACACTTATGTGCATTGCTTTAAGACTCATTTATGCATTCCAAATTTTGCGATTAGACCCTCTAGACCCCTTAGAGTACTTAAATATAATTAAACTAATATAAGATGACATTAAGTTATGTTCCAGAACTGCTTTGGATGGTGTGTGTTTGTATAGAAATTCTATTATTTTTTAATACTTTGTGGTTTCCTTGTTCTCGTTCGTAAGTAATATAGCCTGCATAGACCAAGGACCTGTCACGGACTATTTAAAAATTCCTTTTGAAATTTAGAAAAACGTACGCAATGGAAAAATATGTTCTGTGATGACACTGTGTTGTAATTAAAATAAAGTTAAAACAAGATAAGTTATTAAAAAGATAGTGGACCCAGTATTTTCTTGCTATAGATTTGGGCAAATCAGTTACGATTACAGAATTGAGGATAAAGAGCAATCAGAACTAAAATGCTGATAGAAAATCTGCTTATTAAAGTATATAATTATATTGCCAGACATCTCGGAACCTCTTGAGCGGCCAAGCGCATGCGCCGTTCACCCTTACTTGCGACGACCACCCTTATGAGACCACCCGCGAGGTGGAAACGATTGCATTGTTTTGCCTTTTTCTCTGTTATTTTGTATGAATACCCCTACACAAACTATATATATTTGGATTCTCCACAAAATTTACTATCCACTTAACAAGGAACGGCGAACGACGAACTTACACAGATAACAGTATAAATATTTCATATGGCAGCTGACTTAATCAATGGCTAGTAAGCTAGCCCGTTCTTTCCTCTAAAAAATGATATAAGAATGTAGGTGATAGCAAAATAAATGAAGGCCGAAAATCGGCCCCGTGCCGCATCTCTGCCAAACGGTCGACTTTCGGCCGCTTGCCGCTCGAGAGGCAGGGCAGGATATCTCGATTTTGATCCCAAAATATCTTTCGCGCGAGACACATTTAGTTCAACTCTTCAGTGCTCTTTCCCACACAAGTCGCGTTTTGGCTGGTCCCTTTGCAATCTTACACCACGTGATTGAAGTATTGACCAATATTATCGTCATTGGTCATCGTACGATAACGACTAAATTAATTGATCAATTACAATAAAACTCAGAAGTGCGTATTGGCTCTTAGATAATTTTATGAAATATTATGTTCATTAGATACCGACATTCTCTCTCGTGTGAATTCTTTAATGTCTGGGATAAAGGACTGGTCTACTATAACTGGTCACAGACGTTTCGTTTATAAGGTTTCTTTCCCGTGTGAATTCTTTGATGTGTGGATATATTACCAGATTCAGTTAATATTTTATCACAGACATTACATTCTTAAGGTCTCTCTCCCGTGTGAACTATTTGATTGATTTCTTCAGTGATGGCTCCCTCAGGATTTGGCCAATATTTGGTGTTTTTGTCCAAAATTTCCTGTCAAGGTTTGTTTGGTGAGGGCTTATTTATTGTTTTTAACTCTGTGGAAGGGCTTTGTGCAAGTACAAGGACCTAGGATTTGGGAAAAAGTACCTAAATTGATCTGCCTGAAACAAGTAATTAATGTGTGGATAAACTATAACTGGTCACAAACGTTACATTTATAAGGTTTCTCTCCCGTGTGAATTCTTTGATGTGTGGATAAACTATCACTAGTCATAGACGTTACATTTATAAGGTTTCTCTCCCGTGTGAATTCTTTGATGTGTGGATAAACTATCACTAGTCATAGACGTTACATTTATAAGGTTTCTCTCCCGTGTGAATTCTTTGATGTATGGTTAAACTATCACTCGTCACAGAAGTTCCATTTATAAGGTTTCTCTCCCATGCGAATTCTTTGATGTGTGGATAAATGACCAGTTTCAGATAATATATATCACAGACATTACATTTAAAAGGTTTATCTCCCGTGTAAACGATTCGGTTGATTTTTTCAGTGACGGCTCCCTCACGATTTGGCCAATATCTGGTGTTTGTGTCCAAAATTTCTTGTCTGGATTTGCTCAGTGAGGGCTTGTTTATTGTTTTTAACTCTGCTTATGCTGTGGAAGTGGTTTGTGCAAGTAAAAGGACCTAGGATTTGGGAAAAAGTACCTATGTTAAGCTGCGTGAAACAATAAGTAATTGATGTGTGGATAAACTATCACTGGTCACAGACGTTACATTTATAAGGTTTCTCTCCCGTGTGAATTCTTTGATGTGTGGATTAACTATCACTGATCACAGACGTTACATTTATAAGGTTTCTCTCCCGTATGAATTCTTTGATGTGTGGATATTTGACCAGTTTCAGATAATATTTTTTATCACAGACGTTACATTTATAAGGTTTCTTTCCCGTGTGAATTCTTTGATGTGTGGATAAACTATCACTGATCACAGAAGTTACATTTATAAGGTTTCTCTCCCGTATGAATTCTTTGATGTGTGGATAAATGGCCAGTTTCAGGTAATATTTTTTATTACAGACATTACATTTATAAGGTTGCTCTCCCGTGTGAACCATTTGATTGATTTCTTCAGCGATGGCTCCCTCAGCATTTGGCCAATATGTTTGTGTCCAAAATTTTTTTTCTAGGTTTGTTTGGTGAGGGCTTGTTTATTGTTTTTAACTCTGCTTATGCTGCGGAAGGGCTTTGTGCAAGTACAAGAATCTAGGATTTGGAAAAAAGTACCTAAATTGATCTGCCTGAAACAATAAGTAATTGTTGTGTGGATAAACTATCACTGGTCACACAGGTTACATTAATAAGGTTTCTCTCCCGTGTGAATTGTTTGATTTGTGGATAACTATCACTGGTCACAGAAGTTACTTTTATAAGGTTTCTCTACCGTATGAATTCTTTGATGTGTGGATATTTGACCAGTTTCAGATTATATTTCTTATCACAGACGTTACATTTATAAGGTTTCTTTCCCGTGTGAATTCTTTGATGTGTGGATAAACTATCACTAGTCACAGAAGTTACATTTATAAGGTTTCTCTCCCGTGTGAATTCTTTGATGTGTGGATAAACTATCACTGGTCACAGACGTTACATTTATAAGGTTTCTCTCCCGTATGAATTCTTTGATGTGTGGATAAATGGCCAGTTTCAGATAATATTTTTTATTACAGACATTACATTTATAAGGTTGCTCTCCCGTGTGAACCATTTGATTGATTTCTTCAGCGATGGCTCCCTCAGGATTTGGCCAATATGTTTGTGTCCAAAATTTTTTGTCTAGGTTTGTTTGGTGAGGGCTTGTTTATTGTTTTTAACTCTGCTTATGCTGCGGAAGGGCTTTGTGCAAGTACAAGAATCTAGGATTTGGAAAAAGTACCTAAATTGATCTGCCTGAAACAATAAGTAATTGTTGTGTGGATAAACTATCACTGGTCACACAGGTTACATTAATAAGGTTTCTCTCCCGTGTGAATTCTTTGATGTGTGGATAAACTATCACTAGTCACAGAAGTTACATTTATAAGGTTTCTCTCCCTTGTGAATTATTTGATGTGTGGATAAACTATCACTGGTCACAGACGTTACATTTATAAGGTTTCTCTATCGTGTGAATTCTTTGATGTGTGGATAAACTATCACTAGTCACAGAAGTTACATTTATAAGGTTTCTCTCCCGTGTGAATTCTTTGATGTGTGGATAAACTATCACTGGTCACAGACGTTACATTTATAAGGTTTCTCTCCCGTGTGAATTGTTTGATGTGTGGATAAACTATCACTGGTCACAGCCGTTACATTTATAAGGTTTCTCTCCCGTGTGAATTCTTTGATGTGTGGATAAACTATCACTGGTCACAGACGTTACATTTATAAGGTTTCTCTATTGTGTGAATTCTTTGATGATGACCAGTTTCAGATAATATTTTATATCACAGACATTACATTTATAAGGTTTCTCTCCCGTGTGAACTATTTGATTGATTTCTTCAGTGATGGCTCCCTCAGGATTTGGCCAATATGTTTGTGTCTAAAATTTCTTGTCTAGGTTTGTACGGTGAGGGCTTCTTTATTGCTTTTAACTCTGCTTATGCTGCGGAAGGGCTTTGTGCAAGTACAGGGACCTAGGATTTAGGAAAAAGTACCTAAATTGATCTGCCTGAAACAATAAGTAATTGTTGTGTGGATAAACTATCACCGTTCACAGACGTTACATTCATAAGGTTTCTCTCCCGTGTGAATTCTTTGATGTGTGGATAAACTATCACTGGTCACAGACTTTACATTTATAAGGTTTCTCTCCCGTGTGAAGTCTTTTATGTGTGGATAAACTATTACTGGTCATAGACGTTACATTTATAGTGTTTCTCTCCCGTATGAATTGTTTGATGTGTGGATAAACTATCACTGGTCACAGACATTACATTTATAAGGTTTCTCTCCCGTGTGAATTCTATTATGTGAGGATAAACTAGCACTGGTTACAGACGTTACATTTAGAAGGTTTCTCCTAGTGCGAATTCTTTGGTACTTGGATAAACTATCACTGGTCACAGATATTACATTAATAAGGTTGCTCTCCCGTGTGAATTCTTTGATGTGCTGATAAACTGTCACTGGTCACAGACGTTACATTTCTAAGGTTTCTCTCCCATGTGAATTCTTTGATGTGTTGATAAACTATCATTTGTCACAGACGTTACATTTCTATGGTTTCTCTCCCGTGTGAATTCTATGATTGCGGTAAATGACCAGTCAAGCAATGATCCTCACCTTGCCGGTCTGATCCCAATCCCCTACCCTGCGGAGCCCTGGAACCTTACTCACCAGCAGAAACACAACACCAACAAAATGTAGTATTATTTTATTGTTGACTTTTGTAAGGTCGAGGCTGCTTCATCAGACGGGCGCTCCAATTCGAGCGGAAATCCGCTGTGCCCTACCTCTCTTAAACAATTTATACCCGCTGTCATTGTTTTGTCAATATATTGAAGATCACGGATCTCATAGTCTTCCATCTTATTTAATCTCACTTTATAAATAATGAGCTGTCTTGTACTGACAATAACGAACACATGAAAAAATCTAAGCTATTTGAAGTGAATTTTGGTCCATTTTTATTAATAATATATTGTTACGAACGTCCTGGAAACGAATTTATCCAGAGCAAGGTTCGAATAAAACAAAAAAATAAGAATTTGTGTTTACTAAGGATGCCTGTTATATTAGATAACTTACATAATATAACGATATATAGATCATGAAATTAAAGAACGGAAACGGAAATGACAACGTAAGACATTCTGTCCCTCTCGCACATGCTATCCTAAGTACGTGCGAGAGAGACGGAATGTCTTGCGTCGGCATTTTCGATTATTTTCTTTAATGACACGAGTTATACAAATATATTCCTAGGGCCTAATATACCCTTATATGTATAGATCAAGCTACTAAATAAAGTTGATATTGAAAAACACCATCTATATATCGTAGTACCTAAGTTGTCTTTTTAAATGATAACAGAGGGCGCTGTTTATGTCTAAGTAATGCGTAGAGATATGAAGATTAATACCTTATACCCTTATTAATAAACGAAAACTACGCTTGGATTAGTTACTCAATATTTTGTCTCTGTCTATTGAAAGGCAAATGGTATTCGAGTGACATGAACAAAACACGGTGTAACTGGTCTAAGCTTATTCCTTGTTTATTAATGAGGGGGGTATATGTGGTATTTTAGGTTGAATTCTGTATCCTAGGATCACAAAGCACTCTCACTGAAGACCGCTACTACTAAATTTTTGTTTGAAAGAGAACTTTATAACCACTACATTTATATTTCATCACATTTAACCCAATAATACCATTAATAATCCAATCAAGCAGTCCTGACATAATTTAATGTTACCTTGTATTCACTTAACTAATATACATACACATTCACTACTAAGTATAGATTAGTTTACACGAAAAATGGTTAACATAAACGTTCATCTTGAACTTCAAAGTACCTATAATATTTAACAAACAAAACAAACTTACGAGGTAGTGATTTATTCAACGTCACTGGAAATAACTTCTCTTCTTTCGCGCGACCCTGAAAAGAAAAATTAATTGTCACAAATGTGCAAGACAGAAGTGAAAACGTATAACATATTCATACAGTAAAAATTAGCAAAGATGGAAAACAAAAACCTTTTCAGGAATAATGTGGATCACATGAAGTGACTGTCTCGCACTCACTCAGTATAAGCGGGTGAAGAAGATTCCCCTGGGCTTGTTGTTATTGTGCGCTGCAACTGGTGACCCATCCGCGGGGCACGCCCATTGCGCCCAGTCTGCTATTCGCTAACTTTTTTGACATTTGCAGTAGGTCACTAAAGAGCAACTTGCATATCCATAGATGCTTTTCAGGACAAGTATATAAGTGGCGTTTTTTTTTTATAGCTCCACCTCACCTGATGTTAAGTGACGGTGAAGTCCAGACGTGAAGACAGCTGACACAGCAGTTCTACCTGCCACACCAGCCATCCTCACCCTGCCGGCCTGCATGTTGCTTCTTCACGCCTCTTTTAAAGGATCCCAGGTTGTAAGAGGTAGGGAACACGTGAGCGGGCAGAGTATTCCATTTACAGAGAGTGTGACGGGCGTTATAATAAAGCAGTAATTGATTAGTAAAAAGGCCGGTCGTTATCACTTCCATCTATCAAAAACTGTAAGCGAATAGCCCTACAGTACTCCTCCGGGAGCCGGAACAAAACTTGCATCACCTATACGATATCAAATCAAGAACAAAGATTGTCTCGTACCCACCCGGTATCCGCGAGTGAGAAGAGTCCCCTGGGCTTGTTGTTATTATGCACTGCATCTGGTGACCCATCCGCGGGGCACATCCATTGAGCCCAGTACTCCATCGGGAGCCGGAGCAAAACTTGCATCACCTATACGATATCAAATCAAGAACAAAGACTGTCTCGTACTCACCCGGTATCTGCGATTGAGAAGAATCCCCTGGGCTTTTTGTTATTGTGCACTGCATCTGGTGACCCATCCGTGGGGCACATCCATTGAGCCCAGTACTCCATCGGGAGCCGGAGCAAAACTTGCATCACCTATACGATATCAAATCAAGAACAAAGACTGTCTCGTACTCACCCGGTATCTGCGATTGAGAAGAATCCCCTGGGCTTTTTGTTATTGTGCACTGTATCTGATGACCCATCCGCGGGGCACGTCCATTGAGCCCAGTACTCCGAGCCGGAGCAGAACTTGCATCACCTATACGATATCAAATCAAGAACAAAGACTGTCTCGTACTCACCCGGTATCTGCGAGTAAGAAGAATCCCCTGGGTTCGTTGTTATTGTGCACTGCATCTGGTGACCCATCCGCGGGACACATCCATTGAGCCCAGTACTCTGCCGGGAGCCGGAGCAGAACTTGCATCACCTATACGATATCAAATCAAAAACAAAGACTGTCTCGTACTCACCCGGTATCTGCGATTGAGAAGAATCCCCTGGGCTTTTTGTTATTGTGCACTGCATCTGGTGACCCATCCGCGGGGCACATCCATTGAGCCCAATACTCCGGAAGCCGGAGCAAAACTTGCATCACCTATAAACGATATCAAAAAAACAAAGTTTTCCTCAAACTCACCCAGTATCCGCGGGTGAGAAGAAGAATCCCCTGGGCTTGTTGTTGTTGTTGTGTCCAGCGATTGGTGACCCTTCCGCGGGGCACGCCCATTGAGCCCAGTACTCCGCCGGGAGCCTCAGCAATACTTGCATCACCTATATGTTTATCATACCGAATCAAACAACATTTATTCAAAAGAAGAGCATTAACAGATTCGTATATATATATAAAGTCTCTCGCTGTGGATTTGCGAACCGATGGCTTAGCTTCTCGACCTTCACAAGTGCTTGTAATGGTTAGACTGAACAAATGACTTTTTGAGCATTTAACTGCTAGATATTAAAATGTAAAGAAAACTACTAGAAAAAAATCCACGAGGCCAAGCAGTAGACGAGACTCCAACCCGCACTATCCGGGCGAATGCAGTATTTTTCTTTCAATTGTTTAATACTTGTAAAGGTTCGTTCCTACAATCCTACTATTCGTTACTTATAATGCGAAGAGATGGCACTGCCTTGCAGCCTAAGAAACACTAGAAGAAATTCGTCACGGCCTTTAAGGCCGCGGTAGCATAATTGGTCAATGGATCCGCCCGGAAAGCGGGCGCTGCTGTTTTGAGTCCCGTCTGCAGCTTGGCCGCGTGGATTTTTTTCTCGTAAAGCTTTCTTTAGATTTTAACATCTAGCAGTTAAATGCTTAAAAAAATGATTTTTTGTGTTTATGTTCAGTCTAATCCTATACGAGCACTTGTGAAGATCGAGAAGCTAAGCTATCGGTTCGCAAATCCACAGCGAGAGATTTTATATATGTATATACGAAAGACCTGTGCCCCAGCAGTGGGGGCGTTAATAGATAGACGAAAAGTGTTCATAATAACTCACGTTAAACATTTGCGCGGTAGCTGTATACATTTCGGCTGCCTGTGTCATCAGTCCATAGCCGACTATGGTGGGACCGAATATCTTAGCTAGATTCTCTATGCCCATCTCGCATTCAGAACTTTCAGATACCCTGAAATTATCATAAACAATTAAAAATTAATAATTTCAGGCACAAGTTTCTGTGCAGATAATAATTTCTACATATTTACATTTTTCTATGTCAGCTAAAAAAATGTTACTTAGATGTTATTGTGAGCTCATAAGCTGTCCGGTACCAAAATTAATGAAAAATGGTTCAGTGGTTTAGCTATGAAATTAGTTCCACAAAATGATTTTAATTACTTTTTTCAGAATTTATGCAAAGAAAATCATTATACAGTATACCTTGGGCATAGGTATACTTAGCAGCAAACATCTTGAGAAAAATCAAAGATAAATAAACACGCATAGTAGATGCTTTCTGTATGTTAAAATAGGGTATTTTTATAATTTTTTAAAACTGCTTATAGTTAAAGATTGGAACAAACGATTTAACAGAAAAATAAAAATAAATTAATTAATGTCTTTTTTTCTGCATTAGACCATTAAAGTTGAATTTATTTTTAACGGTTTTGAATTTACCGCCAAAATTCTCGGTTCGATGACGTCTAATGTATGACGACAACTTTGTGTAAAGAATTTTAACATCTGTGTAGTCTGTGGACGATCTGTGATTACGGAGTAATTAGTTGACGATTTCTTTGTTACAGTATTTCGATTTTACTTACTTTCCACAATGGAAGCCGGGTTTCTGAAAGCCGACTAACTCGATTTTACTTGTTATTTACAAAAAGTTGTCGTCACACATTAGACGTCATCGAAACGAGCGTTTTGGCGGTAAATTCAAAACCATTATAAATACACTTAACTTTAATTGGTTTAATGGAGAAAAAAAGACATTATTTATTTTTATGTTAAATTGTTTGTCCCAATCTTTAAATATAAACAGCTTTCAAAAATTTGGAAATTACCCTATTGTTACTTACTGCCCAGACTTTGTCTTCGGCGTTGGTAAAAATGTTTGCTGGTGTGTTTATGATCAGGTTGGTATTTCGCCAAGTAGATTTTCTATGGTACAATTTTCTTTAGATCTTTATAAAAAATCAAGTAGTAGACTAGACTATTAATGCTTCAAAAATTAAATAAATAATCCTATACTATTATACAAAGGTGAAAGTTTGTGTGTTTGTATATTTGTCACTCAATTACGCAATAACTACTGAGCGGATATGGATGAAATTTGGTAGACATTTATTCAAAGACCTGGATTGAGACATAGGGTACTTTTATCCTATCCTATCATATATTATTTTACGACCTCCGCGGTCGAGTGGTTTGTACGCCGGGTTTCATGGTGTTGCCGACTCGAGAGGTCCCGGGTTCGAATCCCGGTGGGGGCAGATGTATGAGTGATGAATACGAGCATTTCTACTCCAGTCATATCCATGACTGTTTTATATGTATTTCTACATAAATATATTTATATAGTTACAGTATATGTATTATATCCGTTACTCCTAGTATCCCACAAAAGCCTTACAGTGCTTACTTTGGGGCTAGTCTATTTGGTGTGAATGATGGAAATATTTATTTATTTAAACCCGAAAAAAATCTAGCTTACTGTGGTATTCTTAAATAAATAAAGTAAACGCGGACGAGGTACTCGGCGACTGCTTGTAATAAAATAATATACTATACTTCTGGACTTCACCTTCACTTAACATCAGGTGGGGTGGAGACGTTTGTTGGAGCTATGAATAAAAAAAATAAAAAAAAAACATAATAACCAAAAACTCACTTTTGTAAATGCAACACCAAAAACGCCAACGTATCCCGATTCGGCTGTGGCAGTTGACTGACAGCCTGCACTATGGCCGCAGTGGCGTCACTCGGCTCTGCCAACTTCGCCGCGTCCATAAAGTCAGACCATAGAGCACTGGAGACCAGAGGCTCGCGCAACGAGCGGAGGAAATCCTTTATACAACCGCACAGTACGTGGATGTCTTCCTGGCCTAATTGGGGGGAACCGCAGCCACGGAGGAAACGTTCCTAGTGTAAAAAAATCTTATAGTTTCGTCGAAATTTCCTTTATTTTGGTTCGAAATCTCATCTCTCAATACCGTACTCAAAGGTTTACTAATTAGCGTAATTTCCGATATAAAATGAAAAATTAGACACTTTAAACCCATTTTTATTGATAAAAATGATCACGTATCTACAGAAATTTCATATTATTTGTAAGTTAAAGTTAGCAGGTAAAGTTATCCGAAATTTATCCTACTGACTTTGAGCTTTATCATGGTTGATCAAATATTAACAATCCATTCGAAGTATTTAATAATTTGTGGTAACTTGTTGTGTAGCTGTAAATAGCTATAGCAAGTCGTTGGGCCCGGCCAACTACGCCGCGTCCATAAAGACAGACCAAGGGCCAACGATATTAATACCGTAGATACAACAACACAAACTAAATCGTAGCCGAAACGCGTCCAAAAAGTACATTGGACGATCCTAGGACCTCCGTAACATGATCGTGTGTTCAAAAACAATATAAGCCATAATTTAAACATTAAAAGTCACCTTTAATGCATACTGTATAAGGTCTTAATTGAAACGTATGCGTCAAAGACTTATAGCAGTTCGAAATGCAAGGTCATCAAATTTTACGACTATTGCTATATGCGGAAGAATATAGACCTTATATCTTAGACTCTACACGCAATTCTGAATGCGCAGTTAGCAATATAGCAGGCACGGACCGGGAGGAAGAGACGGCTCTACGGCGACGTCTAACCGACCATGCATTTGGATATCACAAATATTTTATATTAAATCAGTTTACAGTAAGTATTAGAACAAAATTTACTTAAAATGCGTTAAATTAACAAACTGATTAGACATCTCTCGAAAAACCGACAATTAACGTTCCTTTTGTATTTTCTTCGCATTTTTTCACCGAGCTCTGCGGCATCTTGACTTTTCAACGGTCCGCGCGTGACTGTGAACCGAGAAGTACTTGAGTGGTGTTCAAGCACTTCTTGATTGGGACACATTTTGAGCGGTCGTGGTGTAACGTAATTATACGCTATATTTAATATCGTTGCATAGAGCACTGGAGACCAGAGACTCGCGCAACAAGCGGAGGAAATCCTTTATATAGCCGCACAGTACGTGGATGTCTTCTTGGCATAGTTGGAGGAGAACCAACCATAAATCCAATCCATACTAACATTATTAATGCGAAAGTTCAGACAAGACAGTCTTTCTATCTGCCCACGTCCAAACCGCTGAACTGATTTAGATGAAATTTGGAACAGAGATAGTTTCAGTTCTGGGGAAGGACATAGGATATTTTTTATCCCAGAAGTCATAAAGAAGGGGTTCGGAAGTTTGTACGGGAAACCAATGTTCTTTATCTATATAGTTTTATTATAGTTGTTTTACCTTGAGTCTCTTAACGTCTTTGTCGACGGCGCTGATGCGATATATGCCTCGCTCGTTGAGCCCTCGCTTCTCCACCTCGTTGATGCAGTGAACTAATAAGGCAGGTACCATAGGTGGAGTGCTTGGGGCATAATCAGATATGCAACCCTCCTGTTGACAACAAATATCATAAAATAAAACAATTTTAACGGGTTATATGCACTGAATTTAAATAATATCATATATATAATAAATAATATATATATGCTATAAACTAACTCAATTAAAAATTTGATATTTTTTCTCACTTAATCTTGGCCAATAAGTTTTATTAAAGAAAAACTTTTTGCTCACTCTACCTAACCGGTTTGATTTGACAGCTATGACGTCACAATATGGCGCCCAGTCGGTCCTATTCTTAGTTGAATCGCATCGTAAACAAGTTAGCTGCTTTCATTGCTCTTTGACCTTAGGTAATTTGTTGATAGTAAATAAACCGATCTCGCCACGTAAGAATATCAGCTAGAAATATACTTAATTTGACGACCTCCGTGGTCGAGTGGTTTGTACGCCGGGTTTCATGGTGTCGCCGCCTCGAGAGGTCCCGGGTTCGAATCCCGGTGGGGGCAGATGTTTGTGTGATGAACACGAGCATTTGTACTCCGGTCATGGATGTTTAATATGTATTTCTATATAAATATACTTATATATGTAAGGTATATGTATTCTATCCGTTACCCTAGTATCCCATAACACAAGCCTTATAGTGCTTACTTTGGGGCTAGGCTAATTGGTGTGAGTGTTGGAAATATTTATTTATTTATTATTATTATACTTGTTGCGTATTGAGCCGGCGCGCGTTGGCCCCGGGCGGCACGCAGGGCAGCGGCAGCAGCGCGCGGCACTCGGGATGCGCCTGGGCGCGGCAACTCTCGCATTTCACGCCTACTTTCGCGAACTTTATCCTGCGCACCAAACGGACATTTGAGTCGTCTAGTATCAAAGGCGGCAAAGTAGGGCGAACCAAATATTTGGCAAATCAAAAAAAACTGTTTAGTCTCGTCTTTAAGGGAGGATAAAATATTGACATTTCACTACGATTTGTAGTTATGATGAATGTCAATTATAAAAATCCTCCCTTAAAGACGAGACTAAACAGTTTTTTTTGATTTGCCAAATATTTGGTTCGCCCTACTTTGCCGCCTTTGATACTATACGACTCATTTATTACATTTTTGGGTGGGTGAATTATGAAAAGAGTTGCAAAATTGAGGCTTTCAGCGCAAAATGGCCTAACCCGCAATTGTTCATATTCTGATTAAGTGGCGTAGGCTACTTATGAAGTTTAAGTTAAGTGAAAAAAATCAATGCAAAAAGAACTTTTGCAACGCCATCTATTGACGCCTGGTGTGACACCAAGAGATAGATCGATTTTAAATTAAATTTTAACACATTTGTTTTAAATTGTAGAAGATGAATCAGAATATGAATAATTGAGGGTTAGGAGGGTATTTTGGAAATTTTTGAAAACTACTTTAAAAAGATTAGGACTAAAGATTTAACAGAAAAATAAAAATAAATCATTTAATGTTTTTTTTCTCTATTAGAGCAATTAAAGCTGAATTTATTTTTTAAGGTTTTGAATTTACCACCAAAACGCTCGGTTTGATCAACAACGTCAACTTTGTGTATGCTTTGTAATCATCTGAAGGTCAAATTATTAAGTATTTTACGTTCGGGATAAATTTATAGTATAATACTTACACAAAATTCCCTCGCTTCGCTTCGGGGTAGCATTGATCAAAATCCTTTCTTAGCGGACGCCTACGTCATAACATCTACCTGCATGCCAAATTTCAGCCCGATCCGTCCAGTGGTTTGGGCTGAGCGTTGATAGATCACTGTGTCAGTCAGTCACCTTTGAGTTTTATATATACAGACTTACGTCTTGCCGCAGGGGCCGCACGTCTCTCGCTTGTAGAAGTTCTTTGCGACGAAGTTGTGTTGTCTGGGACGAGCTCTGGGAGATCCTCCATAAGCACATGATACTACTGAAGGAGTGCGCTGAGGAGGTGCGCGGGGAGTGTCCGATGCACTCTCGGAATCTATATGGCAAAGGGATTTGGTTAAATCGACGGCTCTAACGTAATTCATTAAAATTCAATGTTATTTTTTATTCGTATCATCGCGTTCTTTAGACCTATACTTATAATTAAAATAAAATAAACATTCATTATTTATAGGTTTTTTTTTACTTATTAGCGAGATATGAAATATGAGTAAGTATGAAGACTTAATAAATTAATAAAATATATATTTAAAATTTCAACGTCCCGCTACTCGCACCCTCCGCTATCCGAGCAGATGCACTGACAATTTTGCTACCGCGGCCCTAATTGCCAGTGTCGAATTTTCTCTAGTATTTCTTAGGCTGCAAGGCAGTGCCATCTCCTCGCATTGCAACCCACAATTTCAAATTAATACCTTTGCCTTTTTTTAAACATCTAGCAGTTAAATGCTTATTTTTTTATATAAATATTTAAATAATTATATATATTTTTTACGTGGCAGGGCAGCAAATAAGCATTTCGCCCGCCTGATGGTAAGCATCCACTATAGCTTATAGATGCTTGCGATCACATCGCTAAAACATCGCTCGCGTCTCCGCCCTGACTCAATCCCCTACACCTTGGAGCCCTGGAACTTTAATCACCAGTACAATATAGATCATTATTTAATTAATTTATAATCCTATAGTCTGAATGTATATAATAATAAAAAAAAACACAAAGCTATTGATGTGTTGAACTCCCGTTTCATAGATTTCAAAAGAAGCATCTCGAATTTGTTCAGCTTCATACTCAAGATCCTTAATTTACATTTATTTTATTACCTCATTTTATTACTTGTGTCAAAAGATTTAGCCTAGTTTTAAGTTATTTAACTTATGCTGTGGATGGCAGTTAAGATTTTTACTAGATATAAGTTTTTTACCCATGCAATTACTGCACTCTGTTTGTGTTCCTATTAAATAAATAAATATAGCAATCTATAATCCGGCCAGTTACCCGTTTTAGGCGGCGCCGTGGGAGTGCAGGGCTGCGCGTGCACGGATATGCGGGTTGTGGATCTACGCGGCGCCGGCGCCTCGTCGCTGCTCTCCGATATCGGTTGCTGATAAACAAAATAATAATAATAATATTATTTTTGATGTGAAACTTCTTTAGGCAGGCATGACTTGGGGGGTAATCTAGCGAACGTGTTACGATTAGTGTAATCGGTGACACATCAGTTAACAATGAACAATAGCCGTCACAAAATACATGAATGTAGTGCTTGGTGGGTGATAATAGATACAGTGCGGATTGGTGGATGATAACGGACCCAGTGCGGATTGGTGGGTGATAGTGATGTAACGAATATTCGCATTCGCATATTTTTGAATATTCGCATTCACATTCGCATTCGAAAAATCTCTGCGAATGTTTTGCGAATATGAATTTAGAAAAAAAACAATTTGAAGAAGTTGTAGTTCTGCCTTTCCTTGAATATTCATTGTTACACAGTTTGCATTTAGCTCGTTCAGCATCGCAAAGTGTGAAATAAGTCCATGTTTTACTAGAATTCGATTTACTCATGTTAATAAATCACTATTACCACTCACAATCACTAACCTCAAAATTCACTTGTTTTGTTTACGGAAAGACCGGTGCGAGCGGAATGACACTTCAGTCGGATGAGTTCATATCAACTCGGCAATTCGAACGAGACTGCCACAATGCCATAGACAATTGGCGCCAATTTAAAAAAAAAACTAAATATTCGCATTCGCATTCGCGAATGTCGGTACCAGACATTCGCATCCACACTCGCATTTGCGAATGTTCAAAAAATTACATTCGTTACATCACTAGTGGGAGACAAAGGAACCAGTGCGGATTGGTGGTTTTTTATCTATCAACAAATCTTAAGGTTAAGTTTATGATTTTCAGATCATTGGAGCTAAAGAAGTTTCACTTCAGTCATGTGGTCATAAGCACACTCGCTTTATTTTCAGTAATAATTTTTACATATAAGTGAATTAGATCTAAGAAAAAACACAAAAGGTAAAGAAAAATACATAAATAGTTATAACCAATGACGTATATATATAGACAGGTTATACGTCAACATTATTGCATTTATAAATGGCACAAGTAGTCCCCGCCCCAACTTCTCTTGGCAACAGCCGCCAATAGAGTGCACTAAAGTTGTCTCGCTCTACAGCCTCTATGTGTCAATGGTGTCGGCAACTGTCAAAATAAGTAATCACCAAATATTTTTTACATTAACTTCTTTAAAACCGTACTTACGAATGATAAATTTTGTGTACTATCTAAAAACACACAAGGCTTGTCTATAAAAACGTAAAATATTGACATGTTGTAAGTAAAGTGTAGCCGCGGCGAGAGAGCGTGTCCGGCTGGCTAAATGCAATTCGGGCAATTACCTGACTTTCGCATTGCCAAATTAGAAGCGTATATGGCGTATCTATAACTTTAAAACATCATAGGTTATAATTAGAGATCGGATAACCGGATGCATATTTATCGAAACTAATTTTTTGATTAACAAATTATGCAATTATGGATTCTTAGGATATTTTTATTAATAATAAAATCTCGGGATTCCGGCATCGCATAACTAATCGAATGTTAACTGAAAGTAAATTTTTTAACACGCTTTTATTAGGTAGACTTGTAACAAACGAACAAACTATGTAATAAAATCTAAGTAAATTCTCCTGATGATGGAGACTTAACGATGGCTGATGGACTCTGGACTGATTACTAATAAACATATCGAGTTTGAGCTCATTAGTTTCGTCTTAACATATTCTGTTCATTTCTTCTGATGATGAGGAATACTCACAAAATTCTGTGGTGGCTTCAAGTCGTGGTGGGTGGGTGCTCGCTCCAACGTCAGTGTGGTGGTGGCAGTGGCCAGCACTTTGCCACCTTGCAGTTCCACAGTCTGTAAGCAAGGACAAATTCAATACTATCCACCATGATAAATATTTTCCAAACTCACACCAATTAGCCTAGCACAAAGCACTGTAATGTCCCGCTTAAACTTGGTTGTTAACCCAAATACGAGTGCAAATGGAATTCGGGTAAACGACTAAGTGTAAATGAACGGAGTTGAGTATTCGGGTACATTTCCTTCTGTTAACTCGACACCGTCTTACAGCCCTCCATAGAAATCATAGAAAAATAGCACAAATCACAAAATTAAAGAAAGCATTGGTATAACAAAAAAATATATTCATATCGTAAGCGAAATGACAATTATAATTGCCATAATGACAGACCACTGACAGATACTGTCATTATAAGTAGTTGTTACATACCATTTAAAAAATCGAATAGGTAATCAATGTTATATCTAAGATGATCTGAGATTTGGAGTTGAAAAACTCCTAATTTATAGGTTAATTACTTCTTACATTGTATTAATGTTAAAAGCATTCATTTATTTAAGCAATTTAAGCAGTACTTCAATAAATCATTCAAATCATGATTGATTGATTGTTTCGAATATAATAGCAAACAACATTCCTTTATAGGTTGAATGCTACATTCCTTTATAAGTTAAAGGATTTAGACTATTTAGAGTTTCACCTCTAGTTAAAAAGATAGTTTTTATCTCATATTACTTACTTTTTAATGTTTCACATAATATCAAACTATTATGTTTGTACAAGATCAGTATCAAAATGGCTGTTCTCCTTTAAAGATTGAATTCAAAAGCATTATCTGTTCAATATTAAAATCTATGCACATTTTTGTTCTTTGTATCTCTTACAAAATATATTCTAGATCAAATAAATAGCATTTTCCTGACCAATCACATCTTTTCTTATTTATTTGGTTTACAAAACTGGGCACAATCATCAAATGACTCATAAGAAAGCATAAGAGAAGATAAACAACAATGAAATCTATCAAGATAACTCACTTTCGTGGCTGAAGACGTAGACGAGCGTCGTTTCTTGGACACGGGCGCGTTGTCCCTCGCCGTCCAACCGCCGCGCTGCACCCATGACCGCCGCGTCGACGCCAGCGATATGTCCAGGTCGTCTTCTGACCGGGAATATGACATTTCAGATAGTAGCGTGCCTGTTGAAAACAAAATTGTTAAAACATGTTGCACTCTTAGAATGAAAAATCATAGCTCCCTTTTTTCCACAGGGTTGCTGAGTATGATTTTTGCGGTTGATTTGTAAAAAATCAGAAATCACGAAAATTTATGAGGTTGGTTTCGTTTTTTGGAGAGATGTGATGTAACAAACTGACTTAGGACAGAAATAACAATTAGATGTGAGTGGTCAGATTAGCATTAATGTACTATCATGGGTATTAAGTTTGTTTTTTGTTAGACTATAAGACATGTTTCTGTGAGCCTATGTTGCCTCAGTGTATTTTATTTAAGTAAAAAAAAGTGTTGTGAGCGAACATCCCTAAGCATGGATCACTGCAAAGGTGTTGTTACAGATGGATAACTTGTATTAAGTTCCTTTAAAATTAAGCTACTTATCTGCAGATAAGCACTGGGAAAAAACACATGAAGAAAGTTGGGGAAAAAGTGTCATAATAAAAATTTGGCACTCAAGTTCATATTTTTTAAAAAGAAATTAATTATAAAGACATTATTAGCTTTAAATTTTTTTTAGTACACTGTTGACGTTTAAGATTAAACTGGTTCTTTCAGAGTGATGATTATTTACAGAACACTAAAAGAAAATCATAATTTATAATAACTTACCAGTAGAGTTAAGTTCAGGAACTCCGCTAAGTTTGGCATTGTGGTCTTGCTGAGCCGTGCCATTGAGGAATGCTAGTTTTTGCAAAGTTTCATCATTAAGCTTGTTGCGATTATCATTAAAGAGCAGATCACGGGCCATTTCCAAAAGTTTATTCTGTGAAAATAGATTATTACTATTCAGATTAGGCATATTAAATTAACACAGTTAATGCTTAGCGGGTAGATAAGAGGCCATCAAAATTTTGTAATTTTGACAATAAAGAAATAACTGGAACTAAATATTTACCTGATCATTGTATTTCTTCATTATAATGTTCCTCTCTCTCTTTTCACCATCCAGCAGTTTTCTCACGTGTGCAAACTTTGCTTCGCACTTTGCGTGAGTTTTATAAACCTCATCCAGTTCTGTCTGTAGTCTGACAGCCTCGGCTTCGGCCTGAGCCCATTGTGATCTCACCCAATCCATTTGCTTGACAAATGCAAGGAAACCTATAGAATATAAATTTAAACAGGTAAACAGTATGGTAAAAACAATGTATTGGAGGATCCAAAATAGACAAATTTAAGTAAATGTTTAGGCAAATTCCTGAAACATGGTGCCGTTTACAGTATTTCGAAAAATGTCTGTAAGTACTTGTAAAAAGTATTAATAACTAAATGAGTGGGTAGTTTGGTCACAATTAAATTGAAAATTCAAAACTGATATAGCATAACTAGAAGTAACATTTTATAAATAACAAGTAGATCAAGTTATTCAGTTTTGGATTAACGAAAAGGTAAACTTACATTCCTCAGCTGCCCCATCGTTTAGAATTCCATTCAAACGATTGATATCATCGAATTGCGCCACCAGCGACAGAGTTAAATTTGGTCCCGAATCAGAATTTTCCGAACTCATTTTGAATATTTTTGCAAAGCAAATCTAGTTATTACACTTCTTATTGAATTTAATTAATAAATATACACATATCCACCAAATTCGATAAACAAATAAATACAACACAACATTCGCACAACGTACGGAATTGAAAAATTTAACGGCCACAATCTGTCACTTTGGCTTGTCGCTTTGGCATTCCCCGTCAACTTTGAGGGTGTATTCCAAAATATACATCAGTATACTGGCCAGTGGTAATGACGTCACGAATCCGACGCCATACTGTACTGGTATGCTACCATATTTTACCGGGAAAACGACTATGACGTATGACCGAGCGTGCGTGAAATACATTCGAATTTTATTTCTTTTTTATTTAAAGAAGAATAATGACATCGGAACAAAAATAATTCCTTTTAATTGTTGAGGTGAATAAAAATATCTTCTTATTCGCACTATTTTTTATATTTCGTCGATTTATGACGTCAGTGCACTGGCCAGTATATTTCGAAACAATTCACCAGTATAGCGTCGATTCATGACGTCAACGTCATTAGCACTGGCCAGTATACTGGTATATATTACGAAATACACACTGAGTTTTTTTACAAGATCGTTCTAAAACAAGAAAAACGCTAACTAAGAAGATATGTAAATAAACTGGAAAATATCTAATAATATAACCTAAATATAAAGTAAATAACTTAATTTAATTCAATCTAAAATTATATTAATAGTGGTGTCAATTCTGACACGATTCTCTAAACCTAAACTTAAATTTGACAACAGTGTATCCTTGTTGTTCTCTATACGGAATGAAAAGGAGAGACTGATGTTTAATTTAGTTTTAAGTTTAGAGAATCACGCCAGAATCGATACCAGTGTTTCTCTTTCTTAAGAATTGATGATTTGAATAGTATTCTGAACGTAGCGTAAGTCAGTGTTGTCACAACAGAAAAATAGACGCTGTAATAAAGGTATTTTTATGTTGTGTATACAACAATATTTCTTTTATTTATATATATCACTATTTTCTAGAAGAGCCGATTTTTTTTTGGAGCACTCATGTAGGTAATTTAGTTTAAGGCTTAAAATATCGTTCCGTAATCGGGCTTCCATATATATATTATAACTCACTGGATTACTTTTATTTATTACACAATTAAACTATTACAGAAGAAAAAACATTGGTGTAGTTTGAAAAACCTTTAAAGTGAAAAAAGTTGAGAATGTAAAAACAGCCTCAATTTTTTCTGGCTTATAAAAAGTGGATTATAGTAAAAGTCCTTCCTTGGATGGGTTCGAACTAGTGTAATTGGCCAGCTTTCTACCGCTGAATCACCGCACCGATGCTTGTCGACAAGGTTTGAATTTTTTAATAACAATTAAAAAACAAATACATTACAATGCAACATGCTAAAGATTAGATTTTTACACAACCATTTTTGTCTGAAATATAATCAAACACCTTTTAATAGGTTTTATTAATACTAACTATTTCAAATTTATGAACTGACGTTAAATTGTTGGATATTGATATAGGGTACGGTCAGAGTGCACTCAGATTCAGATTCAGATTCAGACTCAGAAAACAAGCGCGAGAAATAAACAGTGTAGTTTAAGCAGGGTGGCCATAGTGGCAGCAGGCAATCTGCTTAAACTACACTGTATATTTCTCGCGCTTGTTTTCTGAGTCTGAATCTGATTCTGAATCTGAGTGCACTGTGCCCGTACCCATAGACTTTAATATAAAAATATACACGACAGATACGACAAGGTACGATTTCCGCAGATGAAGAAAAACTCTCTACGAGATAAAAAGATTTAATTTAAATCTAGAGAGCTTGTATCATACTGCATTGTTTTGAAAACACTAATCACTGTGGAAACATAAAACTGAAGAAGTAAGTTAGGTCTTCTGAGCATCGCGTGCTTTTTGATACAGGGTATTCCTCCCATGGCTGCCATGTTTTTTGTTTATATTTATTAGGTATTTACTTTTGTGAATTTAAAAATTCTGGCTGTCGCAAACGGCGCCTTAGCTACTTATTGGTGTCAATTCTGGCATGATTCTCTAAAACTAAACTTAAATTTGACAACAGTGTATCCTTGTCACTCTTTATACAGAATGAATAGACTATACGATAGAATAGACAGAAGCGACTGATGTTAAATTTTCCAGAATCGATACCATTTTATTCAGACGCATTAAGTACCTATGTGAAGTTTATCAATGTTCGTTTTATTATAAATTTTGATTAATTATGTTACAGAAATGGAAAAATATATCATCAATACTTGGTTGACTTGAGTTATCAAAATAAAATTTTCTCTTTGCCTGCAGATTGCGTGGCAACTAGTAAAAAGTAAGGTAAATGTACGATTAACACTGGCAACATTTTTATGAATTTTTATATGACGTTGACAGTTAAATAGATTCTATTTCATTGGTCGCCCCAAGTCTATTCATCTGACAAAGTGCAATGACGTTCGGTTGAGGACGGTGGTTTGTCCATACGATTCACGTAGTGTAGCGATTTATTTTGCGAGTTATTTCAAAATCCATCGGCGTCCTCCCAAACGCTCGTAACCATGGCGGACGAGGATAATAATTGTGATGACGGTGGTGGTGAGATGAAGATCAATCAGGCATTCCGCCTAAGGGGCCGTAAAGGTGCTTTGAAAAAGAAGAATGTTTACCTGGTGAAAGATCATAAGTTTATGCCGAGGTTCTTCAAGCAGCCTACGTTCTGCAGCCACTGCAAGGACTTTATATGGTAAGCAATACTGTTGTTTTGTTGTTATTACAATTATCCGTCATTAGGTGGAGAAATTAAAAATATAACATTTGTTTACAATGTGGAGGCTCACCGTAATCATTATTGGCTGACGGCTGTGTTTATGATATACTGACCGCTTGGGTCTGCGAAATACCATATCACAGATGTGTGTCAGAATGATGGCTTAAATGGACTATGTTGATATGCATTGTAACAGCAACAATAGCATTCCATATGAGTATGTGCAATCAATTTTAATAGGAACCCAAACTCTTACAACTCAAATGATTAAATCACCTTGTGGACTATTCCTTATTATTAGTTCTTGAATGATTCTTATTGGAATATAATCTTTAAAATTTAAAATAGAAAAAAAAACAGGTTGTTCTGTAGGCATGTGTTAATAATGATTATATTTAAATATTTTTACAATAAAATATATTTATAATCTAGGTGTGCTAACATTATTATTCTCTTATATAAGACAAGTAGTTTATAAATTAATTATAAAAACATGTGTGTTTGTTATTTGTTTTTTTTTAGGTTTTAAAAATAGAAACACCTTACCTAAATTATGTTGAAAATATGTAAATATATTGACACCTCAAATGAACTTCTAAACTAACTTTAAGTTTTATTATGAAAAGTGTGTTCTAAATTGTTGGCTTTGAGTTAGCTCTATTTTTTTACTCAAATGTCTAATAATAATGTTCCATCTGGATTTATGATAATGGAAACTGTTTTTAGATCTTACCTACACAGGAGAGTAGTACCAATATTTCCCATGTTACCATTGCTTTCTACTGTTTAGCATGAAATGTAACATTAATATATAATATTTTGTTCACTTCTAATAATTGGAATGTTAGCAGTTTTTATACCCAAGTAGTAAACTTTGTTTTGAATTCACATTGAGTATGCCCTGCCTTAGAAAAAAAAGTTTTTCTTTGTTCATAAATAATTTAGTGAGAAATATTAAAGTTTGAATTTCTAAAGAGTTTTATGTGTAGGATGATTTAAAACATTAATAGTTTAACTACTAGATTAAGCTAGAGACCACTTTAGTTTCTTAAATATCCAGCATAAATCATCAACTAGGTATACACCAGGGGGCCAATAGCCTAATGGGATTGCTATGGCTATCGCTTTGGCTTACAACTTCATTTTGTTATTTCTGACCGCTTAAGGTTTCAAATATCTCATGCTTATTATCTTTAATATTTCTATTACCAATGTAAAAGAAAATATAGAGCATGAGGCTTTGACAACCTTCAATGTTCAAAAATAATAAAATGAATTTGTAAGCGATAGCCATAGCAATCCCGTTGGGATTGGCCCCCAGGCCTATCAAATGAAGTAGTGTGGAATAGTATCTTGCCATCAGCAACAGGATGCCTGATGAACCAGTTATATCCATACCCCCACTTCATGTTAGCTTAGTATCAGCAAAGAAGCCATGTATATACATTTGATGAAAAGGCTGTTTTAGTCTATACTAAGGCAAATTAAATAATAATTAAATTTAATTGTTTTTTCCAGAAATCCCATGTCTTCATAATCCCATCTATCCTGAAGATTCTAGTTTTGGCAAGAAAATTATACTTATATAGCTATTTAAAATGGAATAAGCCGTTACAAGAAATAATTCAATGCTCAAATAACTTGAACAAAGAAATTACTCATAATTTGTAGATTAACAATTATAATATAATAGAAATTATTATTATTTGTTAGTTTATCTTTATGAATAATTTTTTAACCACCTTGTTAGGTACCTAGCTACAAAAAAGGCAAGATTTTATTTTTATTAGGGCATAGTCAGCATAGAGAAGCTCGATGGCGCAGGAGGTTAGCGCGTTCAGCTGCGATCGTTGAAGTTAAGCAACTTTCGCAGTGGTCGGTCATTGGATGGGTGACCAAAAATTTACTATCTCGAGCTCCTCCGTGCTTCGGAAGGCACGTTAAGCCGTTGGTCCCGGCTGTATCTGCAGCCGTTAGCAGTTAGCACCCACCCACCAATTCGCACTGGGCCCGCGTGGTGGGTCATGGCCCAATCTCCATATTCTATATCTCCATAGGGAAGGCCTATGCCCCAGCAGTGGGGACATTAACAGGCTGATGATGATGATAGTCAGCATAGTCTACAAGAGAAATCTGAAAAACGTACCACCAATATTTTTTACAAGTATGATTTGTATATGTCCTGACAAAAAATAAAAAAGTGTAGTCACTCGGTATATATATATATATATATATATATATATATATATAAAATGTATAAATAAATGTAAAAAAATCCAACGCACACCAATTAGCCTAGCCCCAAAGTAAGCACTGTAAAGCATGTGTTATGGGATACTAGGGTACTGGATAAATACATATTCTGATATATTCAGTAAATTGATATAGAAATACACATTAAACATCCATGACTGGAGTACAAATGCTCGTATTCATCACACAAACATCTGCCCCCACCGGGATTCGAACGCGGGACCTCTCGTGTCGGCGACACCATGCAACCCGGTGTACAAACCACTTGGCCACGGAGGTCGTCAGATACATACTGACTGCATATTTTTCTTGTAGATGTTCAGACAATTTTTAAACTAATGTTAAAAACTCGAATGTTTCATAATGTGATTAAATCCAGCAACCCAGCTCTGGCATGGCAACTGATTCGTATTTTTTTCTCTGATTGAGTGGCATTATGTGTGTGATGCAATTAAAATGAAACACGATAGTAAATTTACATAGTGAACATATTCATAAATTAGACACGTAAATGTGGTCATATTTCTATATAGCAACAATAAGAATACTGCGCGACTTATTTAACATTTTTTATGTAGGAATCGTTGTAAGGAGCATACAAGGACTGGAGGTCTAAAATAATGATAATTAATTACTATTTTAAAAAAATATTATTGAGTATACAGTGAAACTTGGTTAATTGGAATCTCAAGGGACTAAGAATTTTGTACCATTTAAAGAGTTTTTCAATGAGACAGGTTTAAAATTTAGTTGTCTCATTTGCGGCCCCCGCTTATAGAGGACGAAATGTACCGTTTTCCCATTTATAAAGGTGAAAATGTTAATAAAAATGCGTATTTTTGGTGTTATGAATTAAGTTTAGGTATGTATTTATTATAAAAAGAAAAACAATACAATGAAGTTTATGACTTGTTTGTACTTAATTGCTAATAGTTGTTCGAGCCTTTTTCTCAAAAGAATAAATTTGACGAAAAATACTAAAAATATATACTAAAATTTCTTAATACTTATTATAATCTGATAGAAGCTTTAATTTTTCAGATGCTAATAATGTGTTATACTTACGTTTGGACATTTTGTGAACTTTTATTCTCTTGTTTGTAGGTCAACATTTGAGATAGTACTGACAAACAAAGAACGTGGGAAAGAAATTCAAATGTTTGTAAACAATTGTGTCGAACCTTGTCCTAACCTGATAAATTGTTTCACATATAAAGGGAATTGAGCACCAGAGTTCCAATTATAGAGGTAAACATCGAAAAATTCCTAGAAATCAAATCTCATTTAACCAGGTTCGAAAAGTCCCATTACCAGGGGTAATTTGATGTATCAGTGCTGGGACCTCATTGTAGTTCTCAATAATAGAGGTTTCTCACTTATCCAGGTCCCGCTGGTTGCACTGTACTTATGTATTATTCTAAAGATAATTACTTACACTATGTAATACATGCACATTAGAGTTGCCAGATGCTGACTTATCTATTCCGGGACTTTTTGCACCCTCCCTGAAAAAATAAAGCATCAAATCATACCCCCATCGCCACCCAAAATTAAAACATCAAGAAGGCCAGCGGTGTTATTCGTTATTTTGTTACGAAACTAGCACATTATCGGAATCCTGGACAATAAGGTCTTATTACTGGGCACGGGACAAGACACAAAATTCCGGACAATCCCTTATTTCCCGGCCATCTGGCATCCCTAATGCACATAGCTACTCCGTACATTGCATATTAAGAATACAATAAAGGTCATTTTCACAGAAATGATACGAAAAAGCATATAACTCGATGATTCATCATGATATCAAAAAATACCTTGTTTGGAAAGACATGTATGCGAGATAATTAGAGATACAACGGGGTTAACGGAGACGTAATATGATGCTGTGCACTAAATGACAGAACGAGCGGGTGCTTAATGACATGTGAACCTAGTACCCAGATCAGTAAATTTTGACCGAAGTATATATTTTGGCGAACATGAAAATGGAAAGTACAAGTGCGCCCACCGTTACAAACGGCCGTATCATTATTACGTTAACTTAGAAGTTGACTTTCACAGCTTTAAGAGATTGTCAACCTGAGTATTCAACTCGATACCTCCGTGCGTTCCCGAGATAAAGGGTGTTAACAGACAGACAGATAAACAGCCGTATTTATTTTATTAGTTTACTTAGAAGTTTGATTTTTACACTGCTTCAAGAAACCAACATATTTGCGCGATTTCGAGATAAAGGGCCTTGACCGATAAATAATGGCCGTATCTTTTTTCCGCCGGATTACCGGAACCGTTTTTCCGGATTGCAATCCCTATTCTGCCTGCATCTGCAACCGTACCACTACGTAAGCACCCACTAATTTGTACTCTACTCGAGTGGTGGGTCAAAGTCCTTTCTCCTTTTTTATCCACAAAGTGTCAAGGAAGGCCTGTGACTAGGTGCCTGTTCAGATGACGCGATCATCAGCTTATTAACGCGTGTGTTGCGTGTGACACCCAAAGTGCACTAGCTTTATTAGTCCGTTTATTTTTGCTGTTTTCCGCTCATTTCTCTTTCTCATTCAAAAGCAATTGTTTGTCTTAATTAACTGTCGTACTCCCGCCCGCTGCCGTACCGTCTTATGGTAGCCATACACACTACGAGAAATCGTTACGATCAGACTGTACAGTTCGAACGGAACAGTTTATCGTACGTGGCGTACGTATAGGAAACTGTGCAGTTTTATAACATACACGCTACGATTTATTGGTACCGTTCGGACGGTACAGTCTAATCGTAACGATTTCTCGTAGTGTGTATGGCTACCATTATAGTTGTGGTCTTATTGACGTCATTACAGTTTTAAGGTGCTATCCGACGATCTGTGTTTTCGCGGGCGAGGCCGCGCCGCGCCGCGCAGGGTTGCCAAACGTATGAGACTACTCTAACGACTCTAACGTTCGAGATTTAGCAGTATCTACGATACGAGGTGATGATACGATGATATGAATAAGGATGCATTTAGTGATGGCATAATGAATCTGTACTTACTGAAACGATACTTTCTGGACTGGACATTTATTTAGTTTCTGATAAAATTATTGGTTTGTGTACACACATACATATGACACAAACAGTCAACATTGTTCAAATTTCATATCAAAGTGTACGAGATTTCTGTTAACCTCGTATCATGTATATTTATTTACTGCTGAATCTCGAACGTTAGAGTTCTCATACGTTTGGCAATGCTGCGCGGCGTGGCCTCGCCCGCGACAACACAGATCGTGGGACAG